CGACATCTGCCATGTGACACCCGCTGAGGGTGTTGATACGACCTATGCAAATTCTAAACTGGAGTCCACCCTGGATGAGAAAAACTTTGAGAAATCAAGGCAATGTGAAATTCAAAATAAACGTCAGCTCTACTTATATCATTATGGGCAAATTCAACTACCGGTCCCTCATCACCTTAAACGAAATAGCTTGAATACATCTCATGGGCATTGCTATGCTCATTTAGCTTCCATTATACATTTAGTGACTGCACTCACATTTTTTCAGCTCGATATTGTGGTAACTTTTGATCCACGATTAGTTTGGCTACAGCTCTCACAGTTATCTCTCGACTCATGCAACACCAAGCGGAGCATGACTTATCCGCTTCGAACCTCTCCGTTGAACCAATCAGAACGTGGCATTAGAAGTACACAAGAGTATTTAATGTCAGGAACAGCCTAGACTATAACCCCTTGCCCCGTCGCAGCCCTGGTGCCATCTTTACCTTCTTTGACCGAACACTGTCCTCTTACGCCAAGGCCACACTCCGCCATCGTCTGTGATATTCCTACATCCAAATCCTCGCCTGCAACTTCCCTTCTATACAACCATATCCGTGACTTTTTCTTGTTTCTTTATACAAGGCTGGGGTATCCTTTACGGTAACGCGAAAGCGAGTACATATTTATCGTGAATATTTTAGATTAGCTAAAATATCTTCCAGATTTTAGGCGCTTGCACATTTTTGGTTAAATTTGGAGTAAAAAAGTAGCTTGCATAACGGTACTTGGCCGATAGTCAAGCAAATTCATTCTGGCTAAGGGGCGATGGCTGGCATCAAAGCTGAAAGGATAGATCCCCTGACTATTCAAAAGGGAAATGTGTAAAGATAACACTTTAGGGAGCATAACGAGGCTTATTTTCGCCCACAGTCACATTAGTCTTGTATCCTGCTTACTTTTGCAGATTAGAGGGGGGGCTGTCTCTTATTATTTAAGCTCGTAAATATCCAAATTAGTGAATACAACTTTATGAACATTTGTACTCTTACTGGCACAGTAACAGACAAAGTTTTCTATTAAGCATTGTTTAGCCACGATTGGCACTATTGGCAGCAGCAACTGTAAATAACTAATCAAAGATATGAAGACCAAGATGGTGGTACCCTCGGTATGGTCTCAGTCCCCTTTCGATGTATAGAAGTCGGTTGACCTCGTTTTTGCAACTTGGCCTTGTTGTCAGGGCAACTTCGCTTTTCGCACCTTGTCCGAAATCCTCTACCATAGTATTTATAATTCCCAGCGTCAGACCGTAAACTTGCTACATTCTCAGAAGTTTCGCCGGCATCGTAGTCGGTATTATCAACGAGTCTTGCTATTCTCAGCACCAAGGTACAACTCGTCTTGTCTCTTGGCGCTGAGAATAGCAAGACTCATTGACGATGCCGAGTACGTTGTCGGCGGAACTTCTGAGAATGTAGCAAGTTTACGGTCTGACGCTGGGAATTATAAATACTATGGCAGAGGACTTTGGACAAGGCGCGAAAAACTAAGTCGCCCTGACAGTGAGACCAAGCTGCGAAAACGAAATCAACTTATTCTTATAGATGAGTAAATTGCTTTTGCTAATGCAATCCAACTGATTCTTTATTCGTAGGTGGTTCGAGCCGATGCGATATTTCGTTTGTTGACTGGGGCGAATCCTATTCGCACTCGTCTTCTCCTGCTTCAAGGCATTCGCGCATCTGGGCAGACTCCGGCAGTCTCCGGCTCCGCTCTTGGCAGTCAGATCAAGCGCACGAGCCTTAACGGCGCCGGTTCTTCAGTTGCCTCCGTCACTCAAGTAAGAGACTGCGCATCTAGCTCCAACTTCAATTCCAGTCCAATCACCTTACAACCAATTGGTCTGGGTTTAAATTTGTCCGGTTTGGGAGTTTGTCAAGCCGCCTACCTGGCTGCCAGTCTTAAGGGTCATACCCTTCAGGTTCATACAGACCGAAGACAAATATACCCATCCCTGGAAGATCCATTTACTACGACGGTATTGCGGCGCAAACATGGATTGATCGACGATGTGAAGCCGCCGCTACATGCGATTTCCGGAATGAATGAAGCAAACATTAAGCCAGGCAACGATGCGAAGATGCCCAAACAGCAGAATCAGGTGACTCAGGCTGGAGAGTCCGGAGAATCAGCCTATTTGATGGAAGCCGAAGATTTCAAGGGCCACCTTCGCCGGTCTCGAGGTCCGTCAACTGCGCACATTCCATTGTATTGATTTCGTTGTAGTTTGCCATGATGAATTAGCTGGTGTTCGAATGCACAAAGTGAGTATCGCTGGCTGTCAATTTATACATTCATATTCTGTCAAATGGATTCCCGCTTCCACTTTTCCCCTTATTTGTGGTCAACCTGTATCCCTGCAATGTATAGGCATCATTTAATTTTACCTCTCTTTGTATGGCGCCTATAGTCTCAGGTGTCAGTACATGTAAGCAATATCAACGAAAAATTATTAACTTCTTTTCTATGTGTGTACACTTGAGCATTCTGGCAAGCCCAATTTCATGCATTCACTTTGTGTTTTCTCATTATTCTTTAAGCTGATTTGTTTCTCAGTTATCTAGCCTTGTATAATGAGTGTCACTGCGTAATAAGTCACTTCTCATCCTAATTTCACATTATCACTTCGTAGTGGGCCAAAACGAAATAAATGGGTATATCGTGCTGTTAATTTTCGTATGGATAATTTAAGCGCCTTATAACTTCTACCAGACTTCATTTTATTATTAAATATAGTGGGCGTTCAGTATAGCTTTTCAATATTCTATCTGTCTAATTTTTGTTTGAATTTATCTGCTCGTATATACCTGCCTTCTAAAAGGTTAGTGATCAATAGCACCTCGTTTAAAATGTTATTGTAACTGGTTGTTTTGCCAACTTATTTTACTTTGATACTGCTCTTTCAAAAACACCTGTTTTCTATTTAGAAAAACTCCTATTTCAGATATTTTTGCATTTAAATTGAGTCATATACTAGACGAAAATCTTTTCCGGATAGTGGATCACTTACATTTACGGCAAATATTTTTGGAATCTTTGGGAAGCTTCGACGCCGACCTAAAAGCTTATCTAGCACTACAAATCTTGGGATATATTTTGCTACTTAAAAATATATCAATCCACTTCGCTGTTTTCGAGCCCAAAGCAGTTCATTTGCATCGATCGACAGATGGCTAATAAATGGTCTTTTTTTGTAATGTAGCAAAGGTAGTATACCATTGTTAAGATGAAACCGTCGACTGTACTGGTACCAGGCTTACTGTAAGAACGTGGGGCAGTTGCTATCACTTGCTGGTTTCTAGGGCGACCATCCACCCTACACTTAATTACTTGGACAGAGTACGTAGGTAATTATAACAATTTCCGAGATTGCCAAAACAAGAGACTGCATGACCAGATTAAAATTTTTTTTTAATGTGCCGTTTGGCCCCGTCCGTGACTTTTTCCCGCCTTTGATTAAAATACATTCCTGCTTTAATTGCATAGCTAAAGTAAAATATTTTCTTTCGTGGATCCCGTGTTCTGGCAAGTTGGCTCATGTATCGCTTCTGTTTAGGCTTCTGAACCTAGGGTAATTAACAAATCCTGGTTTTTTTCTTGATGAGACCAAAAGGCTTCTAATCAATCAGGTTCCTCGCATAGGTCGGGAGCTTGTGTAGACACATTCTATCTATGCTGCGAAAAGCAACAAAGGGAGTCGTTCATGCGAGCACAGCTTTAGGCGTTCACAATCCCGGACTAACTGTGAGGAGAGGAGTCGTTTGAAGCGCATGACACAGGGAATTTTAGCAACAGATGAAGCCTTTTTCTAATTAATCTATGAAAAAATGGACGCTATTCTATAACCACATTTATCAACAATTAATATTCTTGATAATTTCGACTAGATAATGGCATGATTTTCGTCGAATTATACAGTCATCTTGATCCTCCATACGGAATTTAAATGCATTTCTATGTTTTTGTAGGAAGTGTACTTTCAGAAATTATGTATGAATATATCAAAAGGTGCAAAATAAAAAGTATACAAATACATACAAATGACATTCAGTTAACTCGGGCAAAATGCCATTGGCCGATGAACAAGTATCAAAAAAATTAATCTGGCTGTTCTTATCTTGTCGGAGTTGAAGCCCCTTCAGGTTTTTTGTAGTCATGATGCCGTATCAGTGTCATGAAATATGGGATTGTCATAAAAACGAAGTTGATTCTACGCAGCGGCTGGCTCATGAGCCCTTAGTTTAGGTTTTGAATTATTGTCGTTTAGGCATTATTGTTCCTCTCAATGGTCGACAGGTGGAGGCCTGCAGCGGGCCTTGTATGTATGAGTTGGCAAAAGGTGTTCTTCATCTTTTTGAGTATTCTTCGAAGAGCCATAAGGGTTTTGAAAAATGATCATATCAATTTAAATGCTTGTTTTCCGACCTAATGTTTACAGTGACTAATGTCTCATTCTTATTGTCTAGTTTATTGCGTATAATTGGGTCTTATATTATGGCATATTGCAAAGCTCAGCTTTGAGAGCTTGCGGTTGTGTATCCCTTAATTAGAAGGAGCTCACCAATTGATAATGTATGCTGATCAGCCTTATTGGGCCATAAATAATGTATTGGCACCATATAAGATGTCACGGATTAATGTCCATAAAAAAGTTGACAACAGAATCCAGATCGTAGGATTTCAAAAGAGCCAACAAGGATTCTGTCTGTTGCCTCGCATCCACGCCTTGGAAATGAAATTTGTAAACGAAGAGATCAACAATTGAGCCTAAAAACAAACAAAATAATGATATTACTTTTAAAAATATGTCATTTCCAATTATGTTTTAATCTGGCTCACCATGATCGCTGATCATCGCACCCTGCCCATTTAATTACAGCTTTTAATTGGCTATAAGTACTAACTGATCCTCATTATTTGTAACTATACGTCTTCTGGTTAATACCAACTACAATGCTTTTTTTATTTTCCATATCCTTTCAAGTCTATTTTTCAACTCGAGGGTTCTTCAGATTAAACCTGCCTATAATTGCTTTTGCCGTATTTTGACTTTGCAATGCTTGCTTGAATTTGGACAAATCAGGAAGATCATAAGGCCCAATGGTTAATTTAAGCAAATATTGCAGGTGTATCTAAATGGCGAGTTGTTATTTTCCCTGCTGGGAACGATACGTCATACTTCTCATTCTCAGATCTGTTCGAAAATTTTCTCATACCAAGTAAACCTGTCTCAAAATAGATGAATCCTCACCACATTATCAAAAGGCGGTGGTTTCTTTAAGAAAGGTTCTGAGGCTGTTTTAAATAATATGACGATGTAAGAGATTTTGCGCTGACTTGACTTACACATTTGCCCTACTTTCTATCATCCTGTTCACATTCTTTCCTGCTTGCATTGGTAGCATTTACTGGCTAAACGAAAAAGGTTTGTTTATTGCTAATCAGATTTTAGTATGATCCAATCGGCTTGTCGCTATGCTAGCACCTCTCAATTAACGCAAAAAGTAATATATAATTGTGCTTGGATGTGAAGAAAAGCTGGCTTTTGAAGAATCTCTGACTAGATTGATGTTGATATACCTTTTATCTTTTTTAAAAGGCGAGTGCAAGTGATTCACAAGTTGGCCTCACCGGAAGCTTAATGGGGATTGCCTCGGATCTGTATATTTGTTCGGATAAGTCCCCCGCGCACCACCTCGTAGTGCTGATAGAATTGTATTGGGTCTTCGTCTGTCATCTGGCAAACCTCTCAGAGACCACATCTTACGATAATTCATCGAAACACGAGGACAAGAAACGTGGCTGGCTGCAATCCTGTCCAATGGACAAAGCTAGGCTGTAACAAGTGAGTAGATTTGCAGCCGGCCATCTGTACTTTACTTGTGTTTTGGTGAATTATCGCAAGACATAGTGCTCTTCTCTGACGACGTAACTTCAGCAAGGATTCATCAAGGTCGCAAATCGGCGTGCCGAGAACACATTCGCACAAATCTATAATCATGGCCTCGAGGCAATTCCTCTTCAATTCCATGTGAGTCCAATTTATGATTCCCTTCTACTCGCCTCTTCAAAAGAAATAGACAGTCTACCAAAATGTGCTTAGATAATAAGGGTCTTAAAATTTGCACCCATTTCACGCTTCATTTAGCCACTTCACATGTCATCCGCAACCACTTAACTTGTGAGCAAATATATAGGCAAAACATGAAATGCATAAGTGGACCAAATTGGGAATATAAGACGAAAGTAGGTTTGAAGCCGGCCACCTTTCTGGCCTTCATCTTTTTGGTAAATCGTCGTTAAGCATGGTGTCCTGCTCTGGCGATGTCCGTCAAATGACGGAAGAAAGCTCAGAAAGGATGTATCGGGGTCCCAGGGCGGTGCGCCGAGGACCTCACACAGCCTCCGGTGGAGCCAACTTACGAATCCCTTCCACTCGCATCTTCAAACGACAACATTTATCCTATTAGACTGACTTGAATATAAAATAGATATTTGCCTTAGAGGATCACGCTTTTTGCTTAAAACTGCATTCATACCAGAAAGAATTCCGAATGCATCACTAAGTGTAGGCAGCTCCATGGATACATTCGTTAATTGCCTTGTGGTAGATTCGTCCTGGGTTTAGGAAGCGTATTGGAATCGACCTCAATGCTATTGGATGTATCTTAAGCAGAAAAGGATTGATTTAAGAGGGCGTGTCTTAGCAGATTCCTACGATCAAGTCTTTAAGCATAAATCTTATGAACCATTATCTGTTTGAATTTTTTAGTAGTTTTGGAATCACCAATTAAATTGAGTAAGGTTTGAAATCGCCTTAGAAGATATTTTTAATGAGTTTGGGTGTGTAGTGATGTGGCAACTTTGTAATTGGTGTCACAATTCAGTGCTATATGCCGTATGGAGCCGATAAGGCTTGGGTGGATTTAAAACAGCAAACCAGTGCGGTTGTGAAAGCTATCTGAGGGGAAGTATAAGTGACGTTTAATGGTATTGTAATGCCTTCTACCCATTACATTGTGGAAAAGTCAATATTAGATCTACACTTCAGAAGTGATTCTACTTTTAGTAAATTAGATTAAATTTTAGTTTTCATACCTTATCAAAGTGTATATAGTAGGTTAGTCTGGCTGGATACGTAAGCTTTATGAATCATTGATTATGTTAAAATTTCTGAACTACAGCAGAAATAAGTCAATATTATACCCAAAATATGTAATCTGGGTGCGTGGTTTTCATTTTTGTTAAATATAGTAAAGAAAGTAAATGCAAATCTAGGCATCTTCCGAAAATTATTCGAAGTTTAAGGATTACCTATAATTAATTAATGAGCTCTTACAAGATAAATCTTAAGACTATAAAATATTTTGTTTTTTACAGCCATGAAAAATAATAATTTCCCGAAGTGTTTGAATTACGCACCATATAGCCTTTCCAAAAGCTGGCTTGATTGTTGTTTTTTCCAGGCAGCTCGGATATCACTCTCATTATTCATTAGTTCAAAACAATCCGTCACTAGCTCTGCTGAGTTATCGCTCGCTTCCTCGCCGGTCCCCTGCTGCTCGTTTACCCCATCGCCAGTCGGGCCTCCTCGACTGTTTGCAGTTGACTCGAGTAGGGCTACATCTGCTGACCGATCTTTTATGTTCAGTTCTGTGCCGTCTAGAACTTCGTGCAATGTGTCAAGCAAGCTGACTTGTTGCTGAAGCAGTAGCAACTTTTGGAGAAGCGGGTGAATGACACTACGAAGAAGCTTTTCGGCCGCGTTCGGTGCAATTTCTAGGAGCAGAGAAATAAAAAAGAATGTTTCGTTTCAAGTTTACTTTGCTTAAAGGCCACAATACATTTTCTATAGTTCAGGCATTGGTCAAAAAGGCAATCCAGGCTATTTAGAATAAAAAGCTTTGGAAATGAAAAATTGGCAATTTCGAAGGACAAATGTACTAGATCCATCATCATCAAGACGAAAATATAGGTTGGCTGTTGAAAATGCGGGATTAAAAAAGCCTATTTTAGGTTTAGAGGTGATCTCACTAGCCTTTTTGGTTGAAGTAACCGATTTGATATAGGCCTTGCCAGCAAATATACTTCCAGAAGAAGGTATGATGAAAAGTGGTACAAAAACCCACCTAAAACACATACTTTGTTACTTCTGCAAATGCTGCAATTGTCTAAATGTGAAGTCGCCAAAAGTTAATCAATGTCTTCTTGATCATACGCTTGTAAACAAAATAAAAATAATGAGATCACTTTCGCTTGGATTGAAAGTGTATGATGAAGCACTTCATAGCTCGAGCTCACAAAAAAGATGACAGCGAATTGTACTTAGTCTGTCGTCGCTTGCTTTTACTAGCACGTTCAGTTTTGACAAAACTTTTGAGACGCTATACTTCAGTTCCGTTTAATACTTATTTAGCTTTTGTATGCCGTGCTACTTGACAGGCAACATCAGAATTGTAACTCACTCTTGTAATTACTGCAAGCTGATACTTCACAAATAGACGGTTTATCATTAGCCGCTGTACATACTCATAAAATTGGACCAACGCAAAGTATGAGGGTATTTGGATAGTCGAAAGCCATATAT